TTTGCAAAACTTTTACAAATTTAAAACAAAAAACTTAATTTTGTACACAGAACAAATTCATACTTCTAAAAATACAAATTAAACTGAAAAAATGTCTAAAAAAATATAATATAGTAGATAAAAACATCTGTAATTCAAAAACGTAATGAAAATATAATAAAAACGAATTTAGAAATTAATTAATAATATTGAATAATATAACGAATTTATATATAAATTTTAATCAAATTTTAATAAAAACTTGACTACTAACACTGAACGTATTCCTATTATAAAAAATACTAATTTTAGAAATATCGAAATATCGAATTCAAAGTCGTTTTATTCAAAATTTTTATAGCGGAATGTATAAAAGGGTTCCCTAGGAAATAATGTAAAATTTATTTAGTTTTACCCTATCTAACTGAAAATGGGTGGTTCCATATGAAATTTTTGAGTTATTTGACCTAAACCAAAAAAAGTCCCAAATTTTCTATATTTATTGCTAGAAAATGAAATATCGAATTCAAAGTCGTTTTATTCAAAACTTTTATATCGATTAATAATTTTGGCAATAAACAACAATAAATTGTGAATTTTGAAAGCCAAAGCAAAGCAAGTCTGGGTTTAATAGTATATTAATTTAATAATAATATTAGTTCATTCGTTAAACTAAATACTACTGTTGCAAAAAGACTTTCAAATTACTTTTATTATTGTTATTATTTTTTTTTTTGTTTTTTTTTATTTGACTGTTATTGTTAAAATACTTAATAATTAATTAACTAAAAACTTATAACTTAAAAACATTTAAAAAATTGTGAAACAAAATTTTGATTTTTTTTTATTACTATTTTTATATGACTGTTATTGTTAAAATACTTAAGAATTAGTTAACCAAAAACTTATAATTCAAAAACACTTATAAAATTCTGAAACAAAATTTTGACTTTTTTTTTAATTACTATTTTTATATGACCCTTATTGTTAAAATACTTAATAATTAGTTAAATAAAAACTTATAATTTAAAAACACTTAAAAAATTGTGAAACGAAATATTTCTTTCATCAAAATGCCTAAAAATTTGTAAAAGAAAAAACTTATAATGTAAAAATAATTGATAATAATAATAAAAATGATAATGATAATGCTGATAATAATAATATTAAAAATAATAACAATAATACAAGACACTTAAATTTGTTAAAATATCATAAAATAACTTAAAATTTGTTAAATAAAATAATTACATTGTAAAAGTATTGTAAAGATTATTAAAATCTTTATTAACCATATAAATCTTGTTAAATTTAAAAAAAATACATGCAACAAACTAGTTATATTTAAATATAATTAAAATTAACTGAATATAAATTAGTTGGTTTATAGTAAATAAAATAAATAATAAATAAATAAGTAATAAAATAGCTATTAATTAATTAAATTATATTAAACCTATAAAGTATTGACTTAAGCCTCATTATAATATTATTATACCGACGGCTTGTAAAATAAATAAATAAATAAATATATACTTATATATGTATATATATATATATATATATATATATATATATATAAATTATTTTCATCTTTGAGAAGTTTTCCAGACAGCATCGATAATGCTTTTGCTTTGATTCTCTGGAAGTTATTAAATATTTTAACGATATTGTCCAATTATGTTATCTCACTTTGAAATTGATATGAAATTCCTTTATAGTCCATTTTTAGACGTTTATAAATATATATATATATATATATATATATATATATAATAATGAAGTTCGAGACTTTCTTGCAAATGACGTTTATTTAAAGTCAAGCAATTAATTTCAAATTGGAAAATTTATGAGTCTACACAATTAACTAATGTCACTTCCACTATTAAATATAACTTTATTTGAAGACGAAATTTAATTTAAAAAAAAAAGTTTCATGTATAACTTATTATATCGACAGCAAAAAACAGTTTTTAGTTTATGGCACAAATAATTATTTAGTACACAAGAATCTATTAACACAAATTAAGTGATCATACTTTTATTGACTCTCGTACTATAAAAAATTAATTGCTCTGTGATTTGTATTTGTATTTGTAAAATCTTCTAAAATTTATAATGATATGCATAAAAGTCAAACATTTATCTAAAGTTTTAAAGAATCCAGGAATTAGAGATCCTGGAAGAAAAAAAAAACTTGTGTCTCATTTTTAAAACAAAATTGTTCACATTAATTTGAAATAAGAAATGTATTACAAAAGGACAAAAATCTTTACACAAAAATGCTTAATATTATTAGATTTCAGAAGGCATAGCTTTTGTATTCTTCATAATTATTGAAGATAAAAAGGTTATAAAGTGATATTTGAAAAATCTTTAAAAATTTGGTACAAAGTATTGTTTAAATTTAAATCTCTGTACTCTTGTTGCCATCTTGTAATCTGGTGATACTATTGAGCAATATTATCGAACTATCAACAATAAAAACCTAAATTATAAATAGTTTGGCAATATATTAATCATAACAATAATATATTCGTAATAAGTTTGGAATTTGTTCTGAAGTGTAGGTAGTTTATATTTTTGTAATTCCAAAAATAGTTTTGGGTATAACATACTCAAATTACAACTTTGTTCTACAAATAATTTTCGAGATATAAAAAAAGTAAATTCATTTTATTGTCTTGAAGGAACAAAATCACATCACCATATTTTTTTGGAAAGCATGTATTTTAAAATTTTGTAATAATTCTGTAATTTGGTAATAATAATTAATTTGAACTTATTTGTTTTACAAATTTTGTAACCATTTTATATTATCATACTGAAGAAGATCGTTTTAGTTTACTTGAGATCTAGGAACGCAAAGTTCACTAATTATTCCTAAACAATTGTGTGCTAAGATTTTTAAATTATCATATACGGATTTATAGATAATTTAATTAGCTTTCTAATGATATATAATAATAATGATATTTTTAATTAATGTATAACAGAATAAATATATTTGTAAACCGAAGCGTTGTAGCTAAAAAAATATGGACACCTGACGACGATAATAATTGCAAAGTTTGATGAATTATTTTTAAATAATTTTGTTCTAACAGTTACAAAGTTTTATTTACAGATTTATAGATAATTGAATTAGCTCTCTAATGATATATAATAATAATGATATTTTTAATTAATGTATAACAGAATAAATATATTTGTAAACCGAAGAGTTGACGCTAAAACAATATGGACACCTGACGACGATATTAATTGCAAAGTTTGATGAATTGGTTTTAAATAATTTTGTTCTAACAGTTACAAAGTTTTATATACAGATTTATAGATAATTTTATTGGCTTTTTAATGACATAACATAATATATAATATATAAAATATAAAAGTATAAAGAATAAAACGACTTTGAATTCGATGATATTTTATTCTTAAGCAATAAATATAGAAAATTCGAGACTTTCGTTTGGTTTTTGTCAAATAATTCAAAAATTTCATAAGAATCCACCCCTTTTCAGTTAGATATGGTGAAACTAGATAAAATTTACAACATTTCCTAGGGAACACTTTTATACACTCTGATATAAAAGTTGTAAAATATCTTCATCCCAAACATACATTTTTTTGCCCAGGTTCGTGATGGCCATCGCCTAGACAAACCAGAGCATTGCAAACGCGAATTATATAATATAATGTATTACTGTTGGGCCAGAGAACCGG